AAACGCTTAGACTGCACTTTCACTCAAAAACAGATTAGATGGTAAAAGACATGAGCTATAAAGTATGCATGGTTATAATAGAGCAGATTTTCTGTTAGGTTACATTTCCTAATGTTTAGTTTAAAGTATGAACTGCATTTTTATCATTCTGTCTTTGACAGAGGTATCTTCCCGTCAGGAAGCTGTCCTCTATCTAACCCAATCACAGCGAGGAGCTGACGTGAGCCCAGTGGTCCTTCAACAGTCCTCCTAATGATATTAGAGACTCTTGATGTTTGCTGATGATAAGACACTCCACCAATCGCAGCATGCATCAGCATCCGCACACACAGCTGATCACAGTCAGAGTACATTTAGGCCGCCTGACCTTCCAGTGGAACCAAGGACTGTAGCTATGTCCCTGTGGGCTCTGTCACGCTCTACTCTGCTGCAGCAGCAGCAGCAGCAGCAGCAGCAGCCCTTGTGATCCTGAATCAAGGACTCTATGCAGATGAACTATGTGGAGAGTCAGGCCTGAGTCTGTTTGTTGGCCTCAAAATAATGACGGAACATTCATACCATAAAAAAGGGATGATTATTTTCCAAAGGTGTATTGTATACAGGTAAATCTGCTTTCATCACATCGCCTCTGTGAACATAATGGATCTGTGGGATAATGTCCAAAGTGCAAACAGAAATTTAGTTCCTTGCACATTCTCACTTGAAGTTAGATTAGAACTTTCTTTCACATTTCACATTCTTTGACATTTGGCAAATACACACTCAAAATGCGCTTGTGTTTATTCAAGCTGTTATTATTATACTATTTTTGACATTTTATGTGATCCTTGTATTTCAAAGCTGTTTTTAGAACTATACAGAGAGGGATAGATGGGTTTTTACTGTTTCTGAATTAAATTATTACCTGTGATGATTGTTGAAATAACTGCAATCTCTGTGATTTGCTAATTGCGGCCAATAATTTGCGTTTTCTTTTCCATTTTGATTAATTTTGCAGCCCTACACCGAGCTGCGTCATGGCATACTTATGTATAGTCTTATGGGCAGTAGATAGAGTTGAAAATATGATTTGAAGTCTTTTTCTGTAATATCAACATCCCTGCGGTGGCTCAGACCTCCTAACCTCAATCTTGACGGGGTATCAGCTGACAGTAATCCATGCTGTTAATCCCTGTCTTGACGTAAACACCCAGGACAGCGTTCCTTTTTCTCCTCCATCCCGAGTCCTTATTCCTCAATTCTTCCCAAGTCATCCTAAGAGAGAAGCATGTGCCATCTGTTCACTGTAGTGGGGAAGATTAGTCATAGGCCTTTTAAAATGATCACCTTATCAGTGAAAGCAGGAGATGGCTTCTTATGAAGGCTTACTGTATATTCTAAGAAAGAGCCAAAATGATTTACCACAGCAAGATTGTGCGTTTTAGATTTAAACGGATGAAGGTGATTTAATTTTCTACAAGGATAAAGGTTTATAATCATTGTTCCCCTGGTGGGATGATATATTGAACTATGTACAATTCTATGAATGTCTTCTTCAGCACCCTGCGGATCGCTGGACGAATAGTCATTGCTGCAAGACTAATAAGGATCTGAATAAAATAAAGAAAATACATCCTTCCATCCTTCATATCAATATCCATAATGAGCCCACCATAAGACTTTCTCCACCGACTCCCTCTGATGTCTGCTGTTGTTGTGTCCTTGGCAAGACACTTAACCTCTGGGAACATCAGGTGCCGAGACGGCTGCGGCTGTAAAGTGCCAAATTGTTGTTGTGTCCTTAGGAAAGACACTTCACCCACATTGCCTAGAATGAGTCTGGTGTGTGTGGGAATGGTTGGTGGTGGTCGGAGGGCCGATGGCTGCTTCTCTGTGTGGAGTGAATGAATAATGACATGTAAAGCGTCTTTGAGTGTCCAAAAAAGCGCTTTATAAAACCGATACATTTGTAACTATAAGGAGTATTCAGTGATGATTTTGACCGAATATTTACAGGGTCCTTTTGGGAAGCAAACACATGTTCAAATTAAACATGGCATAATATATAAAACCTATAATGTAATAGAAATGCATGTCTAAAATGATATGATCATAACACTTTTTTTTTCCTCTTTTGTTTTGCAAAGATATGTAGAATAAGAAATGGATAATTTGTTATTTGCAGCTTTTTAAACCCAATAAAGGGAATACTTTAAATATATATGTTGCCCTGGTTTTTGGCCCGGTTTAATACTGTGTTAAAGGTACACTACATACAATTTTGGTTAAAAGAAATCATCTTTCCAAACTGTGGCTTGAAGCAGCTAGACAGACAGAATCTGTCAGACTAGACTGAGTTCTACACAGTCACAAATACCTGCACTGCGAGACAAAAAATGAGGAGGGGTTTGAACAGTTTGCTCATCCTGATGTGTTGATAACATGTTGTCATGGGAACATGTGCTGCGACTACAATAGGAGGAGTGTTGTTGTTTGAAATAGGAAATATTCTAAAATATTCTGAAATCCTAAAAGTCTGGTGTGGTCACACTTAGCACCAGTTTAGCGCACCCTATTCTAGTTTTATGCTCAATTCTGTATAGCCCTGGACTTTTACTTATTATCAGTCTTAAGTGACCTTTTATGTTGTTTTTAGAACCTTAATGTATAATCGTAAATAATGCCTTGTGAAAAATCTTTAGTTCCAAAGAAAACCTTCAGAAAGCCATAACTACACTTGATTCTTTGGCACATAGCTGTGTGTTATGTGTACACAATGGAGTAGCAACCCTCTTTTTTGCTTCAGTGCAGCGTCGCTCATTCTTCTGATGAGTGTCAGAGCTCAGCAGGAGGAAGTCACAGTGCGTTTATGAAGAACTTCACTCACTACTACTGCACTTTGCAGCGTTTGTATAGGATAGATAGGATAGCTTTTTCCCAACACTGACTGATCATGTTGGTGTTAAAAGTGAGAATCAAGATGAAAGAAAAAAGATGTGTCCATCTTTATAGGGCTGCAAGATCAGAAGTGTAATCAAAACATTTGCACAATCTTACTCATCGCAATTAGAAAATCACATTATTCAAGACTTGCAAATAACCAGTAAATAAAGATTTGTTAGTAGAACAAGTATCTTAGGCTTTAAGCGTAGTACGTAGCATTTTTTATCATTCCAAGTGAAACATTTCTCTTCTTTTTCCTATTTGACATAAACACAAAAAGTCAATGCTCATTCCATAAGAAAATCTCAAGTGTTTTGCTCAAATATATTACAAGTATTTTTCATCATCAAGTTAGACATTCTAGCTCATATTCTTATATTCTTAATCAAAATAGTTTCCAAAAATAACATGCTATTTATTTAGCCACATGGTCATCAGAGTGCCATACCCTTGCTCTAATTACTTCTTTATAGTAACCGTCATTCATCTGACAGATTACAGAAGGAGAAGTCTACGCAATCTTTTCTTCTTCTTTGAAATGGGAGATTATGTGTAATTACCCTACTTCTTACGCACCCTAAATTTTCTAATCCCATTTGACTCATAGCATTTATGATTGTGACATACATTGGGACTCTGTAAGAGGTTCAGCAGGATATCAAAATATTGTGACAATTTCCTCAAAAACACAACATGAAAATAGCATGAGACCAAGTGATGAAGCATGGTGTTTAGAATAAAATCCCTACCAGATAACAGAACATATTATTCATATAACTGAAACGTAGTAAAGTGTGATTAATTAGGAATAACTAAATATAATATGATTCTGAAAAAGCGCTGCGATCAGTATGTATACATCGGGTTGCTGGTTTCTACCCAGGTGTGTTCGCCTCTTGCCATCTTCAACCCTCGGAGCGTCTAATGAGCACTGCTCTACACAAGGGGCCACAATGTTTTCTCTCCATTTGATTATTGAGTGCTGTGTGTTTTTGGGTGCACGTTTAATGGTTAGTTTGTGTAAATGTGAACCATGCGGAGACCTTTTTCTGCAACCACATGCATTTCCATCCTAATTATTCCTCTTCCACCTTAAAACCCGATGGTGTGTTTGCGTGTGTCTTTAAGAGTGGAGAAGGTCCTTTTCTCAGTGCTCGCAGTGTCAGCAGGTGAGCTGCCCTATTGGGAGGAAAAGGAGGAATCGCCAAAGCATGCAAATTGCTTTTCCAAGGGGAGAATCAATTAGGTGCATGGCGGATTGTGCGGAAAGACTGGGAGGGGTGGACAGGGGCAGGGGGCCATGTAAAAGGATGGTGCTGCACCACGCTGATCACGTCCTCAGAGAGCTCCCCTCGCTCACCTGCTTCTAAGACAACATTCTCTGCCTTTAACTCGGCTCTTCCAAATACAATTGCAAACGGACAAGAACAAATACTCTATATACTTTTTTGGAGACTTTTTTTGGAGTCGATAGCAGCGACAATATTATTTGGCATTCTGCTAGACCGATAATATTTTCTTTTGGAAGATTTTATTATAACAAAATTTGAGGATTGAAATACAACAGGGAAGGGAATTCTGCAGATTCTGAGCTAAGAATTTGGATAAAGTTTGACAAGATGAGTTGGTGGTTAAGTGGAGGCTTTAACATTTCTTTACTAATATCTTTTTTAATTGCAAACCTATGAATCTGTTGAAACCTAATTGTTTTGTTAACAATTATACTACCAAAAATGTATATATACTTACTTTTTTCTAGATGACTTCCACTTGGAATGTTTGCTTTTTGTGAGTTGATCAAGTTGTTTAAGATGAGCCGTTTCTTTTTTTTTTTTTCATAATCTCACTCTCAACATATTTCACACATACAACATATTGCTGCCTTTATAAAAATAATTTAATGTATTTGAAGTTCTGCATTATTTAAAGAACATACCTTGTTGTGATTAGATCAAAAAAAATAAATCACGCTTATATTATGAATAAATACATACATGTAGATTTACGGAATGTATACAGTATATTTTGTAGAATTTGATTTGGTATTAATCCTGCTTCTCTCTTTGCTTCTGTTACAGATTCATGATGCCCATGTTGTTAAAAGAGGGCAGATCGTGATTGGCTGACAGCACTGGACTGTCCCCCGTTCCACCGGCTTGAGCTTCTACCACAGTCATCATGTCCCTCTCTCGGACGCGGACCTGCTTCTTCACCTGCTGCTTTCTGTCCAGCCTGGTTCTCCCTGCACCATGTCTGACCATCCATGGCCCTCAAGCGCTCAGCTCAGGGTCACAGGTGATTACAGCCTCTTTACAGCAAGACCAGTACGCCTCTTTTCACGCAGAAAACCCTGAATGGACTTTCAACCATCTCGCCGTGGACTATCGTAACGGTAACGTCTATTTGGGTGCCGTCAATCGCATCTACAAACTGTCCCCCAGCTTAGAAGTCCAGGTGTTCCATGAAACTGGACCAGACGAGGACAACAGGAAGTGCTACCCTCCTCGTATTGTCCAACCCTGCAGCGAACCACTGACGCTCACTAACAATGTAAACAAAATGCTCTTAATGGACTACAGGGAGAACAGGCTACTAGCTTGTGGTAGCCTATACCAAGGTATATGCAAACTGCTGCGTTTGGATGATCTTTTCAAACTTGGAGAGCCATTTCACAAGAAGGAGCACTACCTTTCTGGGACCAATGAAAGCGGATCCGTTTTTGGGGTTATTGTATCCTATGGGAACGCATCTCCAGACATGCTGTTTGTGGCCACAGCTGTAGATGGCAAACCTGAATACTTCCCCACCATATCCAGCCGCAAGTTAGCAAGAAACTCTGAGGAGGACGGCATGTTTGCATATGTTTTCCACGACGAGTTTGTGGCGTCTATGATCAAAATCCCTTCGGACACATTCACGGTCATCCCAGACTTTGACATCTACTACATTTACGGTTTCGCCAGCGGGAATTTTGTGTACTTTTTGACCCTGCAGCCAGAGATGGGCGGAGGTCCAACCACGGGGTCGTCCGCAGCAGGACGTGAGCAGGTGTACACGTCTAAAATCGTACGTCTGTGCAAGGCTGACACCGCTTTTAACTCCTACGTGGAAGTGCCCATAGGGTGCGTCAGTGGGAATGTGGAGTATCGTTTGCTGGAGGCGGCGTATCTGTCCAAAGCTGGCGTGACCCTGGCCCGCTCTCTGGACGTGGCACCAGACGACGACGTCCTTTTTGCTGTCTTCTCCAAAGGGCAGAAGAGACGACCACGCCAGGCCACCCAGGATTCAGCGTTGTGTGTCTTTTCTCTCCGCAAGATCAATGAGAAAATAAAGGAGAGACTGCAGTCCTGTTACAAGGGAGAGGGGACGCTGGACCTGGCCTGGCTCAAGGTCAAGGACATCCCCTGCAGCAGCGCAGTGAGTACTTCCGGGATTCTGGGATTTTGGTATCATACTGGACTTGTGTTGTTAGAATCAACGTTGCATTTCAAGGTGCATTTGATTTTAACCCCAACCATTATTGCAAACTATTCACATTCCGTCAAAATATGAATCTTTAAAGGAATAGGCCACCGTTTTGACATACTGACATATGTTCTTACCTTACCATAGACTAGTTGATATGTACCTGTCTGGTCTTTGTCCGTGCGCTCTCATGCAAACGGAGCACAAACGCAGCCTCTTCCACAGACTGTATAGTTCCAAATCAGCTCCCGTTAGAAGCTACCAAACTCTTCCACTTGTTCCCTATTTAAATACAGGTACGTGACGTGTTACACTACAAAGTTTAGTAACACCCTTTTTATCCGCTGAGAAAATCGACATGTTACATTTCTGTGTTACTATACTTTGTAGTGTAACATGTCTTGTAACTGTATTTAAATAGGGAACAAGTGGATGAGTTTGGTAGCTTCTAACGGGAGCTGATTTGTTACTATACAGTCTGTGGAAGAGGCTGCGTTTGTGCTCCGTTTGCATGACAGAGCGCACGGACAAAGACCAGACAGGTACATATCAACTAGTCTAAGGTAAGGTAAGAACATATGTCAGTATGTAAAAACGGTGGCCTATTCCTTTAAGTGGATATTACTTAAATCAAAGACAAATATACACTGTAATTATACTATACTGTACAATAAGCAATTTGAACACGCTACAATGATTTGTGCTGCCCCATGACCATATGGAATTATGGATATATTTGCTGACCCTTTATTTTTTTCCCTCAAACATGGCATCTTAAGGGTTTGGTGTTCATTTGTCGGTGTTTCCTCAAGTGATGTGTTATTACATTGCAACTTTATTGTCAACTCACTCATCACCTTAATCCAGTTTTGAAAACACAATTTGCAAATGCATTTATTGCTATCCAACTGTGCACACCCTTACGATGCCTTTGCACCCATAGTCAGTTTGCAAGTGTCTCATGTTCACTTAAAATCACATAATTAGCCCTGAAGCTCGGCAGGATGTCCTAGTGGGGCTTCATGGGTTCATGCCCAGCCCCATTACCACGAGATGTTAACCATCCACTGCCTCCTTTAATCTGCTGAACACGCAGACAAATTACCATAATTCTATTCTCTGTAACAACATTACAAATTCAGTGATTCGCTTCATTTAATTTCTCACTGTTCCACACAGAAAAAAACAGGACTTAATTAGCAGTTTCATGTATAGACTGTCTTCATTATTTCCAAAAATGTAGCATTTCGCAGCACATACAGTGGGGCAAAAAAGTCTTTAGTCAGCCACCAATTGTGCAAGTTCTTCCACTTAAAGAGATGAAGGAGGCCTGTAATTTCCATCATAGATATACCTCCACTACGAGAGACAGAATGAGAAAAAAATCCAACGAATCACATGATTTAAACCTGCAATCCTCAATACACATATTTCATGTAATGTACAATAGACATCTATGTATGTATTTTTACTAGTGAAATATATCTTATATATTAGTAAATTTTTGGTTAATTGCATATACAGTAGTGCAACGCAGTAACATAACTATTCATGTACACAAACAAGGTGCTCTCAAAAAAGTTATTCACTATGGAAATTTATGGGCACCAATTCACCTGCAGGTTGATGTAATATTAAAGCACCTTAGAATTGTGTAAACATTAGATCATCTTCCGCGTTGGCTATAAACCTGACAAGACAAAACTGACCCTCTCTTTAGTTTGCTCCACGACCCCTAATATTTATCTGGGAGTAAATCTTAAGTGAGGATGGTGCTTTTGTCCGCGGCCGTGCGTCTGATAAATCATAGCCAGGCCGGAGCTGTCAGGGCAGGGTGCGTGCCGAGGAGGAGGGATGATGCCATTTCAGCAGGCGCCACAGTATCACCAGCGCCGCATAAATTATCCCAGAGAAGCGAGAGAGTGCAGCAAGAGACGAGATGTCATGTGCTCTGCTGTAGATGGGTGTATTTAAATCACAATTAAACTACAAAGAAAAACTTAGTACAAGAAGCAATTCGACTGACTATTTTTGAAAATGGCAGTGCTGGCTTTTGACCAGTGGGAGCAGATGGACTGCCTTCTTATCCACGTGACATATTTTACTTATTTGCATTCTGAAATGATTCCACCAGCTCTGTCTGCTGATGTTGAAACATCCGGTGAAACCCTATGCCGACTTTTCATGAGACAAAATAACTCATGGCTCAAAATTTCAAGTTTCACATGTGTGTCAATTAGGGCTGCAATTTACAATTATTTTTATGATTGTTTATTTGGCCGATTTGTTTAATCGTTTAGTTTGGAACCCCAAAAGATAGATTCAACATTATCAAGAAACCATATTCTCTTAAGAGACAAAATATTCCCTAATTGAATCAGCGGCTGATGTGGCTCACAACAATCGCAGTTCCACCCCTGTGTGAACACTAGATTTGGTTAAGTTTATCAGCAACACAATACTGCCAGCCCATTTCAGAACAGGTACTTCCATATTGCCAGCCGTTTCTGATGGTTTTTTACTGATTTCTAAAGACCCACAGAATACTGTGTACTATCTGAAATCCGATTCTACAAGAATGGACTGTCTACTTTTATCAGCAAAAAGAATTTTGTTTCTAGCTTGTTTCGTTCCCCTGTAATCCTCAGTCGAGTAGAGGGAAGTTTTACTGAAATCACCAGAAAGCTGAGAAAAAATAGGCACAACATGTGCACCTAACTGTTTTCAAACCATTCAGAGAGAAATGCTGCCACCTGCTGGCTAGATAAAATATGGTCTCAAGCCATACATATTAGATACAATAGACATCTGGGAACATGAAAATAGACGTATTTGTGCGTCAATGGCACACATTGAGTTAAAGTTACCTAAGTAAGAGTTACCATGGCAAACCTTATTCAGTCAAAATTGACTCAAATCAAGATAAATGCCACTCACTTCAGGCGTTTATTGTTCAACACTGCAGATGAAAGTATTGACAAAAACTTACATAAACAACACTGTATACTTCATGTGATGTGTGGTGGTAAAAACAAGGCTCATCATGCATGTAGAAGAAACAACTCAAGCATGCATAATGCTCTTTAAGCTGCTCTTTAAGCAGATTTGAGTCAAAAAAAATACAAAATAGAAATACAAGTGGAAGAGGCTCAGGCTAGAAAAAAGGATGGCAAACTATTTTTATACCATCAACATGGCGAGGACATACGCGAGGCGGAAAGAGCCACATGTGCAGTCGGCGATGAATCAAGCGTGAGAGAAGAGAGAGGCCATTTATTGCATTGCCGCTCTTTTTTGTTGTTCTGTTTTTTTCTGCTGACACAGTGAACACGGAGGGTGCAGGCGGCTTTTTATAGGTCACATGCCACTTCACAATGATCTATGGATGCAGACTTATACTGTTGAGCATGCATTATGTAGCTTAGCCAGGCAGAACCTTTTGGGGGTCTAAGATAACATCCCTTTCTCCTCTTTACTGCCGCTCATGTCATTTTGACCGTCCCAAAGAGGTGTAATCTGCACTTAATAAGTATCAAATTCTCATTCAAGACGATGAGAAATAATAAGACATTTTTAATACGGTATTGTCCTCCCCTATTTTTTTGTATTATAATTTGCAAATCAATGTATGCAAAAGACAGATATTTATCAGGTCAAAATCAGTCGAAGTAGAGTCTATAAAGTGGCAAGTGACTACTCTGCTGTATATTCTGACAGTGAAAAAGACAATATATTCGAACAGAAATTTGCACGAGGATAACAGGGATGTTAAAATACATATGGCTTAACAAGCTTATACTCACACTTGCAATAGAAAGTGCGAACGATGTCTTCATATAGACATGCTACTATAATGAGCCTTGAGACTTTTCACTGTCTCCCTAATTGGGGGAAAAACACAACGTTGGAGATGCAAGGCGTTTTAACGGCATTAAAACAAAGTTTTGCGAAAGAACAATTATGTTGAAGAAAATCCCGCAGACTGCATGAAACATTCTATTGTTTAGTGGTTGTTAAGTTGTTGTTTAGTTTGAAAATCAGATACCAGTCTTTAATAAGTTCACTAAAGGTAGTGAATATGGGAATTATCGGAACAATGGCTGTTTGAATGCAAGCAAACACATTCTAATCAGATTACAACAATGAGATGGAGAAATAACCACAATATCGTTGAATCTATATATTTTACTTTTTGAACAACATTTTTTAATTGATATGTCTCTTTCTTGTCTGGTTTATCTTCTTCTCATGTAGCATCTTACTCATGCCTGCCTTATGTTCTCTAAACGCATGCTGACCCCACCTCTAAAGCAGGAAATCACAAGGTCGCCTCGTAGAACAGATCCAGCCCTCTCATGGCTTCTGCTAATGATCATTAATTACATGTCATTAGCTAACATGCTATGGGCCATTCTTCTACATTTGTCATTTGCGATCGGCTTCACATTTTGAATTCGCTGCTATTAATTAGATTATACTCGACTGAGTTGCTACAGCCTCTCTTCACGCCCATCTCAGTTTTTCCAAGACTTAGACCTTCAAACATTTAGTATAGATTTTAGTTGCTGTTGCCTTGGTACCAATGTGACAGTGGCCAAAAATACATGCATGTGAATACCCGTTGATTGAACCACTGTTTTGAGAGCGAGGATGCAGTTTAATTTATTGTGGTTTGAAAGTTACCCCAGATTGCAGTTCTTTTCCGTGATGTTTGATCTATAACATGTTTTGAATATATAATAATCCACTTCTATTTCATTCAATGTTTAAAAAACAGACACACGAGACGATAAAATCAGTCAAACAGTGATGACCTTAAAAAACTGCAATGCCAGAATCTCCACATCTTGGACTAAAATCGAGCGGCACTGAACCTGATGTTTAATTTTACATATTCTAGTTTGTGCGGCCTGGCTCCTTTATAGTTTGTCCAGAGGTGGGCCATGTACAGC